TATATATATATCTGCACAGGTTGTTTTTGGTAGGTCCTGTCTAGCCTCGTCACTACCTCGCCGGGGTTAGGCCAGGCATTTACCAGCATATGGGGTCGGTTGTGCTGATGCTACACTTCTGTGCTTTTTGCCAAGATCATAGTACCGGAGCAGGAGCCTTTGGTCAGCAGTAGGAGCGTTGGGAGCTTACTTCAGTCCGGAGATTCCGAGGTAGCTTGTTGGCGTCCGCATGGCCTGGAGTCTCTCTCTTATCTCTGTCTTTCGTTTGATTTCCCTTGTATCGGATCAGACAGTACTGTATTCTCATTCAGACTTTGTATTTAGCATTCAGTAGAAGTTCGTGAGTTAGTGACACCAGATCTGGGTAGAGGTGTATTTGAAATTCCGCACTTGGTTTCTGTTATTTATGTTTCAAGACTTCCGTTTTTTATATTAATTGCCTCGTTCTTCTTTATTTTGTTAATGATGTTGAGAGAAGTGTTAAATTAATTGGCTTGCCTAGCTCCTATTAGTAGGCGCCATCACGACTCCCGAGGGTGGAAAATCTGGGTCGTGACAGTATAAGTTTGTATACCGTATAAAAAATAATATTATGTATAGATACTAGACTTTTGATCTTCCCATCGTATAAATTATATTTTAAAAAAAATACGTAATAGTATAGGTATACATATACGAAGGCTTTTGATCTTCCTATCCATATAAATTTTATTTGAAAATAAAATAAATACATAATAGTATAGGTATATATATGAAGTTGGTTGATCTTCCCATGAGAGAATGATGATTTATGGGACCAATGTTTTGGGATAATCAATATTTATTAACTAATTTTGGAGGGAAATATTTTGGAGGGAAAAATGGCCATTAAGCCAAATGTGAAATGAAGGGCTTTAGTGGTATTTCACCGGTGTGGTTATTTTTGAGCCACGCCGAGTTTGGTCGAATAGCATCTCTCATATCTAAAAGGCAAATTATTGAACATGAAATAAAAAGGTACATTTAGTTGTTACACGCCTATTCCAAGATAAGATCAATATTCAAAGAAATTGGTGAGCCTGGATTTAACTTTGGTCGCGGGTGGCATATTTAATTATATACTGTTACAATTTATTTTCTCCTTTCTATGTTACTTTACAATTCAACTACAGTTTAGCTTTGTATTTATTTATCTTTTGTAATCATACTACTCTTCCAATTTAATTATTGGATTTAATCAGCACCAACTTATTGGTTTCTATTATTTCGTGAATCACATATATAGTAGTGGTTAGATAGCTCTTAGTTTGTCTTAAAAGACATGCTTTTGATAAATCGTCTTAAAAGAAATTTATTATACGAAATAAAATGGATCTGAATAGTGTGGAATAAGTGTAGGAGATTATTAGTTTGAAATTTTTATAGAAATAAAATGGATCTGAATGGTGTTGTCATATTGACATTGTGTAACATGTCAAATCTCCTAACTTGAGACTTTTATGTTAGTTTCACTTGCAAATATACTTGCATTTTCACGGTACTTACAATTACTATGTGATAGTTGAACGGGTCATGTTTGTGCTTTGTGTCGTGTCTTAGGCAAGGGCGGACTAAAATTATGTGATCAAAAGGGTTCAACCGAGTCCGCTTCGTCTTAAATTTTGTTAGTATCTGCATTAAAAATTCCTATTTAAGGAATATAAAAGTGTTATGTTTTTCCTGTTGAATCCGCTTGAACAAAGTTGCAGTTGTAGAGAGATGACAAGCGGGTTGAAATGCAAATGCAATTTTTAAAGTTATTATAACTTATTGGTTCAATTTTAATTTTGTTTATGTTGAAACGTTTATTTGGTTTTGCATAGGGCTGGGCTTATATCGGGTAAAACCGATAACCCGAACAGTTAATTATTTATTGGGTTAACGGTTCGGTAACGATTTAAAATTTTTTCACTATTGGGTTATCGGTTCGGGCCTCGGTTTGGCAATTCTGTTATTGGGTTAACCGATAACCCAATAAGGATTAACGAAATTACTACTTTACCCTTAAGTATATACATATACAGATATGCTAGGGCTTCATTCTTTCCTATTCTTTCTTAGCCTCAGCCGCATTCTTCAGAGTTCAGACTCTTCACTCTTCAATTGGACAACTGTTTGTAGTGTTGAATTATTAGTTGCAGATTTTATGGCTTAGCAGCAATATTATGTTGATGTTTGTAGTGTTGGAAACTGGAAAGTTGTAGCAGCAACATTATGTTGAATATTAGTTGCAGATTCTTTGTTCAATGTAGTGTTTGATTATGTTTGTTGCAGATTCTTTGTTCAATGTATTGTTGTTTACGTTGAATATTAGTTGCCGATATAAAACTATTTTAGCACAATTAGTAAGACATGTGATACAACAACTGTATTGCAGGGGTCAGATTAAGTCAAAGCTAGCAGGAAGATTAGCACAATTAGTTGTGTCCACTGTCTAGAACCGATATAAAGTTGTTTTATAAAACTGTTTTAGTTGTGGCCAGAAACGAGTTTTAAAACTGTTTTACTCTTCTCTTTTTTGCTTAACTCTAGATTGAGTTATCTTATCGGGTAAACCGATAACCGAACCGATAATGACCGATAACCGATAACTAATATCTTATCGGTTTGGTTATCGGTTTATCATATTTGTAAACCGATAACCGATATTCTAAACCGATAATATTTATAACCGAACCGAACTGACCGATACCCACCCCTAGTTTTGCATATGAAACCGTTTCTGGACGCTTCAACCACTAAATTTGCTGGAGTGACTTTAAGGAATTAAAATCTCATGAACCTAACATCTTTTACGGATGAGGATTAGCCACATGCTCGTGTTATTCCGTCGGTCATATGCTCTTGGAACGTTTTACACACGTTTTACCCCTTGATTGTTTGCTCTCTATACCCTCAACGTTTTTCAAAAAGTTTCTTTTTAAGTAGGCTGCCTTTTAAGTATTTGATTAGAAATAATATATTGTTATTCTATAGATTTTATTTTTTAGTTTTTTAGTTTTTTACCCAGTAATCAGCACGTTGGAGGATAAAGCACTCTCAAACAACGATTTCATACCCAAATTTAAACTCGAGACCTCCCGTTAAGGACGAAAGATTTCATAGCCCACGTACCTCACCTTTATAAAGCAGTACATGTAATTGATTCAAAAGTCACTTGAAACCCCTCTAGCGTGATCCATGATATGGTTAGAGTAAAATAATTGAGACAGTGATAGCTAGATTCATGTATTATTGTAAGATATCTTCCAATTGGATTTTCTCACTAATTGACAATAACATTATGCAGAAGCTTCATGTTAATTGATAACCTGTCATATAAAATAGCAGTCATATCACTCCATATACGAATAGACTAAACTATGCCAACTTGTAGTATTAATAATTGTGATTTGATCGTCCAATAATTTCTGCATTCTTATCCTTGTTTGTTCAGTCTACATCTCTACTATTATCTACTACAAGAAACTTTCTGAAGGACTCAAACAAAAGAAAAAATAATGGATCTTAAGCTTGGTGCTTGTATTCTCTCCCTGAATCTCCTGATTCTGTTGGTAAATCTCAATCTATTCTTCTCATTCTCAAATATTATTTTCAAGTAAGTTTATTCTGTTAGGTGTTTGTCCAGATTTTCTTACCATAATTGGTTTTCCTATCTCATGAAAGAAAGGACAACATATTTACCATAATTGGGTTTTTTTTTCTTAGAAGGAAAATATAATTCTTCCATATTTGGCTAGTCCCTTTTCTTGTAGGAAAAGGTTTGAAGTTCTATAAATTGAGGATCCGTCCTTCTCATTCAGTAGCATCCACAATGTAGCCGCATGGGGTTCGAGAGTCGTTTTTAGGGGGGAGAATTTACAAGTGTTAGTGTGTCACTTGTGTTTGCCTCTTCGTGAGGTTGTTCTCAATATTTTGTGCTCTCTTTTATTATAGTGGATTGCTCATCTCCACCGTGGACGTAGGTCAGTTGACCGAACCACGTTATATGTTTGTGTCTCTTTTGGTATATTTCTCTTTGTTGTATGATTTATCGTCGTTCAAGGTTTGCTTTGCTAGCTTCCGCATGACACCTAATTTTTTCGGTCCTAACATGTTCAATGGTACTTCTTATATAAACTCTGATTAAAATGTTGCTGCTCACCTCATTATATACAGGTTACTTATGGAACTGAAGCTAGGAAAATGGCTGAAAGAAACAATGTTGTTGTCCAAAAGACTGATGTCTTTTTCTGGATTTATGATAACCAAGGAGAAAATGGTTATCACAAAACACCTAAAGAGAATGAACAAGTTCATTCATTATCAAATAACAAGGATCTTGAAAACAAGGATGATACTTATTACTTGATATACAATAAACAAGGTGAAAATATTCAGCAGCAAAATGGCAAGATCAAGAAAGAGAATGGTCAAGTTCATTTATCATCAAATAACATGGATTTCAAAAACAAGGTTGATAATTATATTCGGATATATGATAAACAAGGAGAAAATAATCAGCAGAAAACCAAAAAAGAGAATGTCCATATCCATTCATCTTCCCACATGGATCACATTGATCCTTCTCTAAGAGTTTTCTTCCTTATGAATGATCTAAAGTTGGGGAAAGCAATGACTGTTTCCTTCCCAAGAAGGGATCTTTCTTCTTCTTCTCCTAAATTCTTGCCCAAAGAAGAAGCTGATTCAATTCCATTTTCACTAAAGGAACTTCCAAACCTTCTTCAACGTTTCTCGTTCTCTCAAAACTCTCCACAAGCTAAAGCTATGGAAGATACATTAAAAGAATGTGAGGTTCCACCTATAAAGGGAGAGACAAAGTATTGTGCCACATCCTCAGAGGGAATGCTTGATTTTGTACAAGGAATTATGGGAGAAAATACTCAATTCAAAGTTCTATCGACAACTCATTTCTCAAATTCAACTCCTCTGCTTCAAAAGTATACTATTTTGGATGCTCCTCAGGAAGTTGCAGCTCCTAAGATGGTGGCATGTCATACCATGCCTTACGCTTACGCGATTTTCTACTGTCATTATACAATTAGTAAGAGCAAGGTGTTCAAGGTTTCATTAGGTGGTGAAAATGGTGATACAGTGGAAGCAATTGCTGTTTGTCATTTGGATACCTCTGAATGGAGTCCATCTCATGTATCTTTCCGTTTGCTCAGTATATTACCAGGAACATCACCTATCTGTCACTTTTTTCCATCCGATAATCTAGTTTGGGTTCCAAAAATTGCTACTGTACAAGAGCTTTGAAAGATCAGTTACACCATTTTGGCAGTAGCTTTTACTTCTCTAGTGCCTTATCTGTTATTGCTTGTATGAGTACAAATATTTGTATGTATCTTTTCATGTTTTTCTGGTGTACCTCTGGTTTAGATTTCTCTCCACTAGTGGGATCTTAATAAAACAATAAGATTTTCTAGAAATGGAAGTACTAGACTTTGGTTTGTTGTCATAAAAATTTATTACATAGTTGGATTCGGATCCAGAAACGATACAAGTTCTTGCAAAGAAGTTGGATACCTGTACATTAGTCATAACTCACAAGCAGGACAAAAGATCTCGGAGAAGAATTTGACAAATACTAATACAAGTTCTTGCAAAGAATTTGGCTTTTATAGGAACATCAACAATTCAAGATGCATCTTTGTAACAATTCAAATTTAAAACACGATTTTTTCTCTCTCTGTACTAGCATTTGAGTTGTCTCTCTACCAATACACCGGCAGAAAGAATTTATTTTTGAAAAGTTAAGTAAGAGCAGAAAGAAGTTCAACATTTTTTTTGTTTTTTTGTTTTTAAAATGTTTAACAGGTTTCTTCGCCTCAAAGTTACTATTATTATTTTTCTATGGTTAGCCACAAAAAATAGAAAGTTTCCACTAACTATCTCTTTTTTGCAAGGGATAATATTATGTTACCAAAATTTCCTGAATGCAGGAGTGTGGGCCTTTACCAGGCTAACGATTACATTCCAACTGAGAATTGAAAACTCAAAGCAGCAACACTCTGTAACTAAAACATTAGCTTGGTCTTCTACTCACAAAAACGGTAGGTTGTTTCAAGCTACAACGTCCCGGTTTAATACCAAGAGGAAATACTTTATACAGGTTCAGGGCTTCACATTGAACGAGTTACATGAAGGCTCATAGACACCACGCATATGACCCTTTTTTTGCATATATATCTGCGTACCTCGAGCTCAAGGGTTATTTGAATCAGTGCTGCATTAGTACTTCACAAAAATAGTAAAGTTATTGTTGGTTTCCTTCTAGCTAACATGTTTTTCACTAGCCTTGTAATAGAGCATTTTCTGCACATAGAACATCTTGTAACGCAGCTATTACAATGTTCTCGCTCACCTGAGTCAGGTGAGCGAGTAGCTAGGTGAAGTGCTCCGCACTGAAATTCTCCAATAGCGTTGGCTACATCAGTGTGACATAGGAAGATTGTATTGGGATTTAGACATACCAAATAATTAACCTTTTGAACACAATTAACATATTGTCTTTGATGTATATCGTCAAAGTCAATTAAGGCTCAGAAATCACAGCTATAGATGCATGTGAGCTGTTTTATCACCATTTTGGCAGCAACCTTTTATAAAACTTCACTAGTGCTTTATTTCCTGTTACTGCTTGTATGTGCACTAATATTTGCATGTATCTTGTCTCTGATTGTAGTTTACCTTCAAGGGCGGCTCAACAAAATTAGTGGCCTAAAACAAATTTTAATAAGAATCCTAATTTTATACATCTACGTACATGCAAAACATTTAATATTGTCTTTCTTTTTCTTTTCGTACTTATTTATAATGTAATATTCTTACAATATATAAAAGTTTAACTTCACATAATATCATTATTTATATTAGCAAGGGTTAATTCAAGTTAATAATGTGTTAGCCATGTATTTGCAATATATTGCCTTGTATCTTGTTTAAAAAAATTTATTTACTAATATGAAGATTTAAGTAGTTTAATTTAAAGTTCTAAAATATTTTTAATGGTAAAAAATAAACATTCTTTAGTTTCGCTCTTTTTTATATAAATTTTGTATTTGTTTTTACAAATTTTAATATTGTCTAGTAGAAAATATTATTATACATTCCACCGCTAATACTTTTTGGGGCCTAAGGCAAAGGCTTTAGAGCCTCACTCTTGAGCCAACCCTGTTTACCTTTTGTCTAGCTTTCTTTCCAGTAGTGGACATTAATAAAAGAATAAGATTTTCAGCAAATGAAATTCTCAGACTGATTGGTTATCATAATTTTTTTTTAGTGTGCAGCAAAGTTTGCAACTCAAAATTGCAGATTAGAAACAATAAAAGATCCAGTAACTAAATGCAAGAGGAAGATATTGTAGATGCTAAAATCTACCTGGATCCGGAGAGGCATTGGCAACAAATATCGTAAATAAGTGAAAGAAAACAACGATGAATTGAAGACTCGTGATGTCAAAAACCACCACGAATATGGCTTCTTTGTATTCTGATTCGATTTCAAGTCCAATTCCTAGTAAAGCTACAGCATGATCTTTCAATTTCATAGGGTCAATTATGAACAGACGCGCAAAGACAGTAGGTCAGTGTAAGAAAATACGTACGATCATGGATTGCTATGTGTCTAAGTCCTGGTTATACTAGTTGTATATTTATATCCAGATCCACAAACAAATTAAGCTTTAAAACACAAATCAACAAATTACATCCTATGTATCTCGTCAAAGTAAAATAATGCTTATAAATTACAGCTATAGATGCTTGTAAACCATCAACAAGATGTTAGCAGACCTTCAAAAATTACTATGCTAAACATTTTGCAAACCATCACACTCTCCTAGTTGTGCACGACGCGCCATACAAAAATCATAGATCAAATTTAAAAGAAGAGTGCTACAGGCATTGAGATCTGCAAGTAATAAGTTTTCTTTAACTAATCTATTTCCAAATGTTCAAAGAACTGTTAGAGAAACAGTGGCATGTGAACCATAAACTTAGAAAGTTCCACATATGATTTGATGGTTTCGACAGCTTTCACATATCCAGCACATGTAGTTTCCCATGTCATTTGATGCCAACTAACAGTAAAGCTTACATTCTATCTCAAATATCTAGATAAGTTGCTATTTTGGTTGCTTAACCTAAGGCTGTATGTGGTCCCGGGCCCAGGCCTAAATGGGCTAAACGGGCCGGGCTAAACGGTCCCGGGCTTAGCGGTCCCGGGCTCTGGCGGTCCCGGGCTTCGCGGTCCCGGGCTTCGTGGGCTCAACGGGTAGGACCAGCCCGTGACGGGCCTAAGCCCATATGGTCCTGGGCTAAATGGGCCGGGCTCGTGGGCTTAGTGGGCCTAACGGGCTTTTTTTTATTTCCGGGCTTTTTTTTTATTTAGGGCAATTTCTTGTAAACTGTATGTGTATGTATATATATAAATTGCTCTTATGCATGGCTATATAAATATATGTGGTATATATAATATAGAAATCTAATTATTAAAGTGTTTGACGAAAATGTAAAATAACAAATCAATAGTAAAACTAAATTGGCATGCATAATAAATTAATAACAAAGTACAACATGAAGCATAAATACGTCTAATAATTTTAAAATAACATAAATTGTTGAAAAATCTTAAAGACGAATTTGCGGATAAATACCCTCAACACAATACTTTATATGCCTCCTTAAAATGCCTGTGGTACACCATGAACGAAAATTTAAGACTCTTCCACAGTTCTTGCACTTTAATATTTGGCCTTCTTCATTTTCTTCAAGCACTTCATAGTATTGCGACACAAATAAGCGCACTCTTTCCGAACGAGGCATGATTTAACTTGAAAATTGAGATTGAGACTTGAAGTCTTGAAAATTGGAGAATGAGAGATTGAGAGAAATTTAGATTGAGAAATGAGTATTGAGTATTGAAATGAAGAAGAGGGAGGGGGGTACTTATAGTGTTAGAGAAGGTTAGTTTTGTAAATTTAAAAAAAAAACGGCTATTTGTGCAATTAATATGACCGTTGGTGGTCATTGGGGGTGGGGCCCTCATTTTGAAAAATCTTGTTTTGTAGTATATATAGTACTACTTCTTCATGTAAATATAATATATATAGTATACTAGTATAGTATACTAGTATAGTGTACTATATATTGTATGTTATGTATATATATTATATATTGTATGTTATGTATATATATTCCCTTATATATTTTCTTGTAGTATATATTGTATGTTATGTATATATATTCCATTATAGTATAAATTGTATGTTATGTATATATATTCCCTTATATATTTTCTTGTAGTATATATTGTATGTTATGTATATATATTCCATTATATAATTTGTTATAGTATAAATTGTATGTTATGTATATATATTCCCTTATATATTTTCTTGTAGTATATATTGTATGTTATGTATATATATTCCATTATATAATTTGTTGTAGTATATATTGTATGTTATGTATATATATTATACCTTATAAATAATTGCAAGTTAAAGACAAAAAAATATTGCGAAGAGATATTCAAGGCCAAGGGTATGTTTTATAATTTTTATTACCAAAAATGGCATATCTTTCTTAGTCTTCTTCCCCCCAATGGAATGAGCACAACAAGGTACTAATACCACCATTAAAAGGAAAAAAAACTAAAGAAGATATGCCAAAGTACAAGTTACACCATAATCTACATTGTATCTCTAACAAATCTCATAAATCCTTCAAGGTTCGGAGGAGGTTCCGTTGGTGGTGGCGGAAAAGAAGCTTGTTCATCACCGCTTCCGGGCGAAGCAGCATCCTCCGCAAGTTCCGCTATCATTTCTTCATAAGCTTCGTCTATCTCCGGTTGTGATTCTGCAAGTCCAAAGTTTCTTCTTTCCGAGCGGATCCAATCTCTGAATAGTACTGATTTTTCCAAGCTCTCCCTCATAGACGCTCTATGATCACCTATTTGAAGTCTTGCTTGACTGAAAGCGCTCTCTGATGCAACTGTTGAAGCTTGAATAGATAAAATATCCCGAGCCATCCTTGCAAGAACCGGAAAATGTTTTTCCCTTGTCTTCCACCATTCCAAAAGATCAAAGGTGCCGTCTGGATTCTCCTTTTCAAGTCCCTGCGACAAATAAACTTGAAGCTCATTTAGATGTGAAGTCTCATCAAAATTATCACCTTGAGAACCCCTAAACTCCGTCCAAGATTTAAGTGCTTGTAGGCCCGCAGCTCTTTTAGATGATTGTGAACTAGACGAAGTAGGGGTTGGAATATTTGGCCTAGCATGATCTAACGCAAGTTGGTAAGCATTATAAATTGTTTGCGCATTTATTTTAATTGAGGCTTTTGCCTCTGCAAGTGTAGAAAATTCCTCAACTGAAAGATCTAAAGCCTTATAAATATTTGTGTACCAAAAGTGAGGACCTCCTAAT